GATGGCGGTGTTCTTGAAGTCGCAGGGGGTCAGGTTCGGAAAGGTCTTCTCTTCGCCGCTGGATCGGGCGATGGCGACCGCTGGGTTCGTCTGCCGGGTAATTCTTCTCAATTTTTTTCCAGTAGAAATTGATGGGGTTTGTGCGGTAACTGGTTGCTGTTTCTTAATTGGCGCTTCAACTAGAGAGCATTCAAAGTTTGGGGTTTTGGGTAGAAATCTAGTTCCCATTTTTTTTACTATGAATTTTGCGGATCGAATAGCTAAAAATTAGATTTTGGGTGGGAATTGTGTAGAAATTGGTCACCAATTCGCTTTTCCCGATTTCCTGCTCTGTGTCCCGTTAAAAAAAATTATATGCTCCACCTTGTCGTCTGCAATAAGTGCTTTTTTCATAAACAAGTTGAATTTTGGATCTACGAAGATCTAGTGAAGCAAGTCAGTATTGGTTATTATGTTTCTGACAAGAGATTTACAACTGAAGACAGAAAAGGAGGTAATGTAGAAGTGGTCTCGAAATGGATTTTAAAAAGGATGAAGGGAGGAGCTGAGAGATGTGAGCTAAAGAGAAAGTGCCCTCATGCTTCTGTATACCATCCGTTAGGTTTTAGCGAAACATACACATTTAGGCAAAATGTAATATTTGTTATGGAAGTGGAGAAGTTTAGTGCACAACAATTGCAACAATATGTTAAAAAAAACAGTAATTGAGAATAAAACAGCATCATCAGAGACTAACGAGAAAGGCTGAAGCAATTCTTTCAAGACTATGAACAAGTGCCGGATACAATTTCGGAGTCTGACATTATGGTTGATCTGGCAGAGAAATCGTATGCTTCGAATATTAAGAAAACTTGTTGAGGAACACATGGTCCAAGTCACCCCTTAATATGATGCAGGAACCGCAAAGGAAGTAGAACTTGTTGGACAGCCTTAAGGTAGGAGATAACATGTCACTCTTAATTCTTAAATTACTGTAGTAAATGTTTACAGAATGTTTTGATTTTGCGAGTTAAAAGTTGCATGGGAAAATACCCAATCTACTGCATTACACACATTAGTTCGATAGGTATCGAATTTTGAACATCAGCCTTTATTTGATAGCAGGCCTTCAATTCTCAATTTCTAGGACCTTTTAAAAGAGAAATTCTCTCTGGACGTGTTTTTTGCGATTTTATTTGCACTTCACATGCATGTTTTTGTTTTACAATACAATTTATGCATTTCTTTAATCCAAAACAATATTGAATCTCAGAATTGGATGTTGATTCATAAATGATAATCCACAAATGACTATAACCCGTGGTGAATCTTGATTCATATGTTGCTTCTGATATATCTAAATCATTGTTGCAAGATTCATGGTTTTCTTTGGTTCATGGTATTGTGTGGTGTGTATTATGCTATTTTGAGCAGTATGCAACACGAAGGCTAGGATTGTTATTTCAGATGATCGTACAATTAGAAGAAGTCTACGGACATTTCTACATTTATGATGCATATTCCTTGTGTACTTGCGTGCATGCGGATAGAGAAGATGTAGAAACTTTCATCTTTTTGTACATACACTCAGGAGTACCATACATACATTTAAGAACATGTAAGGTAAGGATTGTGTCGGTAGAAATTATATTTTTAACAGATGAAAAGCAGACTACTTTCATTAAGAAACATGATTATATGTGGTAAACAATCAAAGTTCGAACTCCGACCTTTAAAGCCAGTGTAAGTCTCAAATTAAGTATTAAGAATGGTTAATTGCACATATACCGCATGTAGTATCATGATTTGTAACTTCCCCTGCAATTTGATTTTGGCAGAGTGACCCTTTTAGTGATTTTTTATTACTCTTTTACCCCCGGGAGAAATAGAAAATTGTTTTCTTTTAATAGACTCCCTGGTGGTCAAAATGTGCAAGTACTTTTTTATTGCACTGAATTGTGATTTCATTCTGCAGGAACTCGGTTTTGCAGCAGAACATATAGAGTCTTTTGACGCATTGATGGAGATGAGTCAAGGCCAATGGGAGGGCTGCCTTCATTCTGAAACCTACACCCCAGAGATTCTCAGTATAATCGACAGAACCCAACCCGATTTTTCTGCCCCCTCTGGGGAATCACTAAGGCAAGTAGAATTCCGAATGATAGAATTTCTAAACAAAACAGTCCTCAGAATGCCCGAGAAACTAATAGCCCACGAGGCATCAATGACTCACAATGAGTCTCATCGGAGTTTCTCACGTCAAAGCTCAACAAACTCAGTTCAAGAAAAAGATGGCCCTCACTGGGATTTAGTGTACAGGCTCAATAGGCCAGGACTGCAAAGGAAAAAGTCAGGAAAGAGCAGGCTACAGATTGTTACAACTGGTGATAACGAGACTGAAGATGAGTTTTCCCCAAGCGAACCGAGCAACGGCGCGAGGAACTTAACCTCTTCTGTAGGGATCTTTACTCACTCTATGCCGATCAAATGTCTTCTTGCTGGGATTTTGGGTGCAAGCCCAGTGGTCTCTCAGAGGTTTTGTATTGATGATTCTTCAGTGACAGTTTTGCAGCATTCGTTAAGAAACGGTTGGCAGATAAAGAGGCTAAATGATACTTCACATCTTCGGCTTCTTTGAGTGTGAAACAGAAGAAAAAAGCCCGTTACAAGTGATTGGGGGCTTGTTCTTCTGATGTTTAGGTGTGCTCTGCTATTTAATTTTGGAGGATATCAGAAATTTATGTTGTGGTACGCCAGCTCCCAAAAGTGAAGGAGCTGGAGAGTTGGTTTTTAATTTTTTGTAACTTTTGTATCTGTTATATTACCCAATTTTTTTGGCAAAAGAAGAGAACATAAGTTATTATAAATGTCAAACTTTGGTATGTATTAACCTCTCTTGCTTTGTTATAACCTTTATGCTCTCATCTGCTGGTGTATTAGACATTGATGCTCTTCAACCATTGAACTGATGGTTACTAGGAGACCTCTGGATTCCTGTTTACTAGGGAGACCTCTGGATGAAGCATATATACAAGGTTAATGTAAAGAGGAGGGCATCTCCAAGTTACAAATCTTTGTAACTTCGAGCTAGCAATATTGATGTTCTTGATGTCATCTTTCACTTTTGTGATTCCCAGGCTTTCTAATTGTAGTTGCTTCTCATGGTGGATTTGTCTCAATGAGAAAGTAGGGTTCTTTGTGCTTTAATACTCCAAAGTTTCACCCTTTTTTTTTTAAGTTTGATACCCTGAAGTTGTCTTTTGATACCCCAAAGTCCAAACAAAGTGGCGTTAAGTTTGTTTAAGACTATGAACATAAACAAGTAAGAGCTAAATTATCATACAGAATTTTACCGTCTTGAGTTTGAGGAAAGCGGGCAATTAGGGCTTCGGGAATCAAATGTCAAATTAGATTTTGGGTGCCAGAAGACTCAAAATAGAACTTTAGGATGTCAAAGTCAAAAAAGAGTGAAATTCTAGGGTATAAAAGCGCAAATAATCCGAAAAAGTATTCAGTGTTCTTGATCTATTGCATTAACGAAGCATCAAACAAGTAGCGATCCCAGAGAACATTGTGATCCTACCGTACGTAATACTTATTAATGAAGCAGTTATGTTCTTAACCTTAAAAAGAGAGTTTAAAACTCCAAAACATCACCTTACCTGCCCCATGATAGGCGAAAAACACACAATATGTAATGATCTAAAGATCCTCCCTCCTTTTTCCACCGGGAAATCACCATAATTTGATAATAATAATAATAATAATAATAATAATAGGTATACATAGTTGAAAGATACCATCAAGTAGGTGGTAAAGGCGGGGGTCTGTAGGTGCATTTTAGCGGGCGATTCTCTCCATGCTAACGTGCACCTCCGCCTAGATTCAAATGAGGAGGAGGAAGAAGAGTGGCAGCAAGAGAGTTCCTGATAGTGAGTTGAGAGATTCAATATTCATATTCCCTTCTCTTTCTAGTGAGGGAGTAGGCTCAGATGTGATGAGGCTTCTTCGAGCTCATCTGTGATGGAGAGCACGAGACCAAAAGGAGCTAGGAAGAAATTGCAAATGGAGGAAATCTTGTCTAGATCTAATCCTTTGTCTGATCCTCAACCACCTCAGGTGAGATCTGGTCTTCCGATTCCGAGGTAGTTAAGTAAATCTATCTTATGGGCGGATGATATAGATGAAGATATTGATTCTGATTTGATTGGAAATATTTCTTTTTTTGAGCAAAATATTGAAATCCCTACTCATCAAGCTGACCAATCTATGAATGATAATGATGTGATTAGAAATCCAAATCTGGAGAAATTTAGTAGTGAAATTTCTAGTAATGATAACCATGGAAATGGTGATAGGTTGGAGAATAATGAATCTGAAAGATTGAAGTCCTTTGTTAGCTTATTTGCTGATAATAGGAAGCATGATAATGGGTTAGCCCTAAAATTTGTTCCATCTCCCCAAATAAACACTGTTTCATTCTCTACGGAGGAATGGAAGGAAGGAGAAGACTTCTGGAAATTTGCATTGATAGGTCATGTTATTGGATTGAATGTCATATTCAACAAATCTATGGAAACCTATGTTAATAAGCTTGGGGGAAAATCTCTATTCCTAAAGTTTTCTTAATCAAACAAAGGTTGTTCCTCTTTGATTTTCAATCTGAACAAAAAATGAAAGAAGTGCTGGAGGCAGGACCATGGTTTTTTGAGTCAAGGCCCTTTGGTTCTGAAACTTTGGTCTATTGATGCAGATATTGAGAAAATTCAAGATTGTAATTATCCTATGTGGGTTCAATTCCCAAATTTGTGCCTGGATTTATGGAGCTCATCTAGAATTAGTAAGATAACCAGCCTTATTGGTAAACTAATTACTACTTATAAACTCACAGCCACAAGACAGAGATTGTCCTATGCTAGAGTTTTGATAGAAGTTAAACTGCCTTTAAAAGAGCCTCTACCTGATCAAATTGTTATACAGGGACCTGATGGAAAGAGTTATAATCAAAAAGTTCTTTATGAGCTCAAACCAAGATGGTGTAAAAATTGCAATATAGTTGGGCATGTGACTGAACAATGTAGAAGACAAGTTATAAAGAAGAAGTGGGTTCCTGTCACTAGACAACCTATATCAGTTGCACAAGCAGAACATGTGCATCAGTGATCTGTTGAGGAAAATTCTGGGCAAACTGGAAAAGGAGAATATTTACCTGTAAAACATGCACGGTTTGTGGAGGTTACTGTCAATAGACAAACTATATCAGAAAAGCATATACATCAGGAGTCTGTTGAGAAAGATCATGGACATTCTGGAAAAAGTATCTACCTGAAAAACATGCACGGACTGTGGGTGATTAAACTGGGCAACCTGAGAGTGTTTCTGCACAAGTTTTCAGTCACAACAATTTTGGTCATGCCAATATGCATCAAATTTCATCCCCAACTGCAAATGCTACTGGATTTGCAAGTGTTAATAGGGTTAGTGCTGCAAGAAGAGCTAATGTTGGTGATAATAATAATCTGGCATCTTCATATATTCAAGCTTATCATTTCTCACTATTGGATCATTAGGTGCATGATTTTGACCCCTCCAGTATTGATAGGGGTAGATCAACTCAATAATGCATTTAGTCATATGGAATATTAAATGATTGAATAAATCCTCTAAACACATGATTGTTAAGCAATTTGTACATGATTACAAACTATCTTTTATAGCTCTTTTAGAAACAAAAGTTTCTGGTGACAAGATGCAACTAATAGCTTAAAAATGATTAAGATTGGGATTGGATTTCAAATGCTCAACAAGCTAATAATAGAAGAATTTGGATTCTCTGGGTTAGTGAAATTCTCACAGTTCAATGCATCAAATCCTCGGAGCAATTCATAACATGTAATATAGTATCAAAGGATGACATGTTTTCATGCTTTATTACTGTAGTTTATGCACTTAATGATCTGGAAGACAGGAGAGCTCTTTGGCATGATTTGCTATCTTTCAAACAAAGTGTTAAGTGTCCCTAGATTGTAGGAGGTGATTTCAATGCAGTTATCAGCAACGTGTATCAGATTCAGATACTGAAGACTTTCAAAAGTTTATCACATCATGTCAGCTAATTCATCTTAAGTCTGCTGGATGTTTTTTCACTTGGAGAAATAAACAAGAGGCTAATTCAAGAATTTGGAGCAGATTAGATAGAATCTTGGTCAAGGAAGAGTGGATTCAAAAATATACCTCTAGTCAAGTGGATTTTTTTGGTGCCAAATTGTTCTGATCATTCTCCAGCTATATTAACAATAGGGGATGAGATTTTGAAGGTAAACGACCATTCAAAATTTTTAGTATGTGGATAAATCACCCTGATTTTACCACAATTATCAAATCTATATGGGAATAGGACATCAGAGGCTTCTACATGTATAAACTTCATACTAAACTCAAAAATCTTAAACAGTCTCTGAAAGAACTGAACAGGAAACATTTTATGAATATTAGTGAACAAGTGATAAGAGCCAAAGGAGAGCTTTCTGACATTCAGAAGTAGTTGAATAATGATCTCTTCAATCAAGCACTGATATTAGAGGAAAATGAATGTTTAAATAAGTATAGCAGATTGATAAATTGTGAAACTTCCTTTTATAGACAGAAGGTCGATATTAGATGGGGATTACATGGAGATAAATGTTCTCAGTTCTTTCACTCTATCATGAAAGCTAAAAGATATCACAACAGAGTGTTATCTTTGTACACCGAGAATGGTGATAGGATCACTAATATATCTAGCATTATTGCAGAATTTACTGACTATTATAAGAAGCTTTTGGGTGTTGCGATTCCTACTACTAATCCTGATCCTGAGGTGATATCAAATGGACCTATACTCTCTTCAGTTCAAGGCAATTCTCTGAGTCTTCCAGTTACAAGAGATGAGATCAAGCAAGCCATCTTCTCTATGTCAGGTGAGAAAGCCCCTAGCCCTGATGGATACAATGCTTCATTTTTCAAAGCTGCTTGGAATGTAATTAGTGAAGATCTGTATCTAGCTATAGAGGAATTCTTCTATTCTGGTAAACTGCTTAGAACTTCTAACTCTACATCAATTACCTTGGTGCTAAAAATCATTAATCCTAAATCACCTTCTGATTATAGACCAACTTCTTGCTGCAATTATGTTTATAAAATCATTTCAAAGATTATTGCTAGCAGAATTCAAGAGGTTATGGGTTTTTTTATCAGTGAAGCTCAAAGTGCATTAGTCAAAGGAAGACTTATTTCTAGCAACATCTTATTAGCCCATGAGCTTATTAAGCATTATGGTAGGAAGCATACCTCACCAAGAGTCATCCTTAATATTGACTTTGGAAAGCTTTTGACATAGTAAGCTGGAGTTTTATTAAATCTATGCTAATAGGCTTAGGTTTTCCTGATAAAATGATCATGTGGATTATGGAATGCATTACCACTCCTAAGTTCTCCTTATCCCTTAATGGTACACTGCATGGATATTTCAAAGGTGCTAGGGGCTTACGGTAAGGAGACCCCCTTTCCCCCTACCTGTTTATTCTTGGGATGAAATATCTGTCAAGAAAGCTAAGTACTCTTAAAAATGATAGACTATTCAAATATCATCCAAAATATTCCACATTAAAGATCACTCATTTGTTCTTTGTCGATGACTTGCTTTTGTTTGGTAAAGCTGACATGTATTCTATAGCAAGATTATATGGATGCCTTCAAGAGTTTAGCCAGGTTTCAAGATTAGAAACTAATCCTAACAAATGCTCTGTATATATGAGTGGCATTGATGAAAGTTTGAAGCATCAGATTTGCACATTTCTGAACTTCTCTGAAGGGGTATTGCCAGTAAGGTATCTGGGAATGCCATTAATTTCAAAAAGATTATCTTGTTTGGATTGTACCCCACTGATCAATAAAATTACAGACCAATTCCAGAGTTGGCAAAAGAGGAAAAGTTTATCTTATGCTGGTAGGTTGCAATTGATCAAGTCAGTCATTTGGGAGTTCAAATCTTCTAGATTGCCAGTAAGGTATCTGGTGACAAAGTTCAATTATATTCTATTTACAGGGAGTTTATTCAACAAACTCTTCAAGTTGCTTGGTCGGATACAGTCTGGGATGGATAACATTATCCTAAGCATTCTTTTATCTTATGGTTATTCATTCATTCAAGACTGCTAACACAAGATAGATTATGCCGTATGAGAATGCTTGACACAAATCTATGTGTCTTGTGTTCTAACCAACAGATGGAAACATGCCACCATCTTTTCTTTGAGTGTCAATATTCTGCTAGTGTGTAGAATAATGTGATGACTTGACTGGAGTATAACTGGAGATCATGCAATTGGAATCATGTCATTGATTAGTATAGCTTAAGGCTGAAAGGAGTGGGTTTTATGAAGAAATTGAAAAGATTGGCTGTGTCGGTATCAGTGTACACATTATGGCAAGAAAGAAATCTGAGAATCTTCCAGCATAAAGCCAGAGAGCCTGAGTTTCTATTCTGCACAATAAAGATATCCATCCTCTCAAAAGTTTTGAATGACAAAGTTCCTTCTTACATAAAAGAAAAACTTGAGCAATTGTAGTACGTGTTCTTTTTTGTTAGTTGTTTTCCAGACTTAGTTCTGATTGTTTTGATGTACTTAAACTTCACAATTGGGAAATGAATAAAATTTATTTCATTGACCAAAAAAAGATACCATCAAGTATAAACAAGCACTAAACTAGAAGCCTCAACAAAAGAACGTGGTCCTTAGATGCAAAATATCTTCATCTAGGTACCCAAAAGAAAAAGAAAAAAAAAAAGAAAAGGGAACCTATGTTGCTTGTGAATCAATTTGAACCTCCTCTCCACATTGAACCAAACATCAGCCGCTTCAGCCTCGCCAACCGAGACTTGCTCTGATTCTCGCTGTATTTTGCACAAACCATACAATCATCTGACTCTTCCCTGCTCCTACTCATCAACTTACTCTTGAGGCCTTCGCTCTCATCCTTGAGCTTCTTGTTCTCTCTCTCAAGCCTCTCTATCCTCCTCCGTAGCTCACCAACGGCCTCTCTCTTCTCCTCGTTCCTCCTCACGAGCTCGTTCAGGTTTTCGATGATCTCTTCGATGAGTCCAGTTCTTCCAGCTGCAGGAAGCGAATCCAGCTCGGGGTTTTCGAGTTCGGATTCGGAAGTGGAGAATGGAGAAGGGAGCATGGAGGAGTACTGCAGCCTTAGGATTTCTTGGACTTTCGTCATGAGTTCCGGCTTCTCAGTGAATGACAGCTTGCTGCCTCCTCCTCCTTCTCCTTTTATCAGCGTCTGAAGAGATTCTATATATTGTTCAAGCTCTGAAATGAAGTAATTTTAGCTATTTTTTAAAATGTAGAGCTCTGAAAACTTCGGCTCTTTGCGTTACAGCATTCGGATTTGTACATCCTACTAACCTCTCAGTGTGCTACAATATATATTTGTAAAGCGCGCCAAAAAAAAAGGAGGTCAGAGAAAAAAATATCCATATAATAGTGTACCACCACTAGCAATCAAATAAAAGTTCCATTATTTATTTAAATTGTACAATGGGTTATTTTCACTTCAGTGGTTCTAAAAATTTGTAACTTTGACAATATTATTGTAAGGAGAGTCAAGAAAGTATCGTAAAAATATGTCGCACAGGGGTATCATCAGAACTCTCTCTCTCTCTCATCTCTCTCTTCTGGGTCTCTCTCTCGTCGGTTCGATATATATAGTATAGTAGGTAGGTATATATATATAATATGATAGTATTATATATATGAATGTGTTTAATAACATTTTTAATATTGAATTGATTTTAAAATATTTTTTATTTAGAGTAAGTTGCATTTTCTTCAGGGATTTATAGAAAGTCTAATAAGATAAATAAAAAAAATATAAAACACTGTTATCATTAAGCGTGAACAAATGTTTATCAATATTTTATATGGTGACCTCTTAAACGAATTTAGCATTTAGCTGAAAAATATAATGTTTAGAAACTGCTTATACAGCTTTCTTAACAAATATATAAAAAACCTTATATGAAAAAAAAGAACCTGGTTTTCTCTTCCAAAACTAAAAAGCATAAATTCTCATGTCTCTTACAGACACTCCCTGATTTCGACACCCATAAAATTGTACAATACAATATTTTACATGTATTTTAGCTTATGCTAACCAAATAATAATATTAACAAATAAATGCTAAGTAAAAATTTAATTAAAAAACAATTGTACGTCCATAATTCTAGATTTTCTTAAAATTATTTTAGTTAGTGAGTTGATGGGGCTCCCTTAATCTATCCAAAAAGGGGGGAAAAGTTAATAAAAATGATCAAAAAATTACCTATGAGCGTTGATTGGTTCCATAAAGTGCTGTTGAGGCTATCCTCCATCATCTCTTCGTGCAAAGAGTTAGAGAAAAAAGCACTACTTAAATCCAAAAGAGGCTTCCTCGTGAAAATAAATCTTGTTTTCAAACTCTTTCCTTATTTGAGCAGATTTTCTTAGTTTAATATATAAGGGTTCTTTCCATAATAACAAAATCTTCAAATTTCTCTTTGAAGATAGTAGCCGTTGCATGATATATGTATATAGTAATAGCCCCATGCGCGCTTATTATTTCCCTCTTAATAATTATTTTTTTTCATCCAAAAACTCAAATATTTTCTAATTTGTCCAAACCAATAGACATCAGAATTAACTACAACTCTATGTATACGTCTTCAACTCTCCACGCATGCATAAATACAAAATAAAATCTGTTTTTTTTTTAGCACCCGCATCTATTCATAAAAATTGTAGATTAGCCTTAGGTCTGAACTTGAAGAAGATATTTTTTGGATCTCCAAATTGAGATTTAATTTCATCTTCTTTTTTTCATTGAATAAAAGTGAAGATTATATTTTTCTTCCCCAGAGGAAGGAAGGAATATACACAATTTTTAAGACAATAAAATTTAGAAACCTCTTCTAACGTAATTAATAGAATAAAAAAACTTCATTACCTTTATTTAGTAATTATATGGCTTCATTCTAGTAATATTGTCGAAAACTTTAAAATATCCAATTTATGCTTATTTTAAGGAGAATTCTTGTCTACATTTTAAAAATAAATTCTACAACCATAGATCTAATTTGTATTATTAAGTTTTATATTGGTATATCTTATATTTTAAATACATGTCCTAATACTCTCATCAAAGGTTGTCAGTAGCGATGCATATAGTCTGGATACAGCTCGGATATGATACTTATCATATTTATGTTTGCTTACCAATCACAAGTAAGAATATAGATAAGCTTTAGTAAGGAAAACTCATACCCATATTGGCTAAAATCAGATATGAATACAGATATGCATATGGATACACATGGTGATACGGGTACAAAAAATAGATAATATTAAAAAAAATATAGTTCACATGACATAAAAGAGTTAATTAATATGTTCTTTATATCTGACAACTTAAGATTAGATATCTTGATCATCAAAATTAATCTTAAACTCATGAATCCAAGAATTAAAAATGTTGAGTAGTATGACAAGTATATATTCATATATTTCGAGTATGAATCTGGATATTTTACGACATAACCATATCTGTAATGATATCATTTCGGTTATAAATTTTAACAACCGTATGTATATCCTAACGGATATTTCCTTGGTTAAGGATGTTTTGGGCACCCTTAGATGTGAGCCTCTATTTGTAGATTACGTCTACACACTTTTAACGAAAAACATATGAAGTGCAACATTTCACACTTTAATTTTTTTTGTCACCTTCTTGCAAACAAAAAACCAAGGAAATGATGGAAAACATGAGTGTTTATTTATCGAAAATTGATATTTATCGATTAATATTTGGTTGCGCGAGAGATAAGCTTTAATTGGGCCACAGTTGCTTTCATTGCATGTTTTCCTCCACTATTCTTTTTATAATTTCAAGATTATTTTCTTTTTTTTATTGTGCTCCAATAAAAAGAAAGGGTTTTCGCACATGTACCACTCAAATCTTTCATATTTGCAGAACTAGGCCCCAAATTTTAGTATTCACAAAATTACCCATGATGATCTCCTTTTCCAACCCTTTCACTTTCCAATTTTAGTTCGTAAACGGGACGTCATTGCAAACCTATTGGAAATTATTAGAAAAGTTAATACCGGCTCATTTAAAAACCAGCATTCTTAAGTTAGAGCGGAGTTGAAACACTTGAAAGGACCACCATGCTAGTTTTGAGAGGTAATTTTGTAAATATCAAAGATTTTGAGGGGTATATATGCGGAAACTCTCGGAGAACAATATCCCCTGCGCTTTCGCCCCCTACCAGCGTCGGTTGCCTAACGTAGCCGACGTAAATCACATCAAAATCTCACAGAGCCTCCGCCATCACCATTTTCATCAGAAAGTCCCTCCTCCACCAAAAAAACACTCGCACCAACGTGTCAGGCTCCCATACATGACACGTGTCAACAATCTTAGCCGTGCGTATGGACCCCACCTTTTTTTTGTGAATAAATATTTCCACCCGTCGTAAGATTTGAGTTCCTCCATTTTCCCTCCACAATTTCTTAGCACCGCATTAAGTTAAAAAGGTGAGAGAGGTTACGTAGGGGGAATTTTTTTGGGTTATAAAGGGATTTTGCGTTGTTGTTAGGGCTTTATACTTTAACTGCGAAGTCCTGCTCATTCGCGCGCCGATACAGCAGAGCTGAAGCTTCTACCCTGCAACAAAACAGAGAGAAAGAGCAGCTTTAGTTTCAAAAACGGGAAAAAAAAAAACTTCGTTTCCTCCTCGGATGAAGGATGGATCAATAGGACTTTTCCTCCACCGGCCACCAATTCTTGGAAATTTTTATTAAATTTTAAGTCGGAATGTTTCTCACCATCCCGGGTGGACGACGAATCTTCCTGTTGAGAGAGCCCAGTTCACCTGGGAGATAAAAAAAAAAAGATTAATAATATGTTTTTTTTATTTTTCTTTTCCTTTCCTTAACGGTTTCTTTGGTTTGAATGGAAATGAAAGAAAAGAAAAGAAAAGGAAAAGGAAAATAAATTTCCACTGTTTAGTTAGAAGGGAAGGCAAAAAAGAAAAATGACAACAAGAATCTCGAAGGAAAGAGAACATCCAAAAATTTTCGTTCATCCTTTCCTCAACTGAACCCACCACGAGCCCCAAGCTGCGCCATTGAATCTCTGTAGCCATTATCCCTTCTCCCTTGGTTGTGTGTGGGCCCTGCTAGTTTTAACGACAGAGAACTAAAAGGGCCTCGCTTTCAGTAAAACTACTACAAACTTAAACGGATAGGAGCATTTGTCCACCAACTTTTTATCTCTTCATCATATGCTTTGAGATTTGTGCTACACATCAATGCTATATTTGAGATTTGTATTTTTCTTTGAATCACATGCTAGCACAAATCTCAATGTGAAATCAATGGACAAATTGGTTGGTGGACAAAGCTTCTATCCACTTTAGTTTATAGGAGCTTTACTCTCATTACATAATATACATTAATTGTATTTTCTACTTCATTTGTATTGAACTAATATCAATTTTCCTTTCAACTTTCTTTCTACAGTTCCTAACCAAACATGAAAAAGTATCTTGTTTCATTTTCTTTTTCTTTTCCTCTCTTTTTCTTTTTCATTTCCTTTTCTTTTCCTTCACTTTACTTCAAACCAAACATAACCATTAGGTGAAAGTTGAGCTTAACAGTGTTAAATTTTAAGAAAATGTCTTATAAAATAAGGGGCCAAAAACAAGAGTCATTTGTCTTCATCACATAGCTGTTTTTGTTCAAGTAACTACGAAGTTCATACTAAGTTTCATTAAACAATTCCAAAGTTCACGAAATTCTGGAAATTGAACCAAAGTTGCGATGTAGGTTTCAAAACTATTTTCTGTTATCCCTCTTCTTTCTTCTTCTTTATCGACTACCAAGAGTAAAAAATGGCAAATGCTAGATGCGTTATGAAGTTAGAAAGGGTTTCCAGTGTAACGTTGTTATGTTTTGTTTCAAGGGTAAATTGAAGGTAACCTCCTTCATCACCATTCAATTAGCTCAAGATGACAAATTGCATAGCACCTCCTTACCCACGAATTGAGCGGTGAGGGTGTTAATAAATGAGCAGTGGGGTGATAAGTGCTACCGAATGTACATATTGGGGGTTATCTGCAATCTGCCCATTTTCTAATGTCAGAAGAGATCAGAATGCAATCATGTGCTACTGCTTTGGTATACTAAATAGCGTGCGTGTGAAGTTTAAAGACTATACCTTATCTGTTCCAAGTGAATTTGCAACAACATGAGTGACTTGTTCATCTATTTGATTTGTGCACTCAGCACCAAACTGCTCGGCTGTCTGCCACAGTGGGTGGAGATGAGGATTAGCTTCGCCAACAGGGAAAATTCGACTAAATACTATCTTGCATCCGGCAAGAATCTTCCTTTGTTCAGCGCCAAGTATGTTTCTCACATCAACTTCAGTCAAGCAACTGTGGGAGAAGAAGATTTCATGGATTCTCTCTATGACCTAATTTAAGGAAAGACAGCCAACCTCAAGTTACATATTTTTCGTAAGCTAAATAGCATAAGACCTCCCTTAACTTTGGATGATTATCAGATAAACTTCCATGACTTTCAAAATATCATAAAACCCCACTTAAGTTAGAGGTTATCAGAAACCCCCCTTTCACTTTAAGATTTTATGAGAAAAACCCCCTAATGTTAACCTCAATTTCACATGGATGGGTAAAATCACGCGGGGGATATTTTTACCAGTGAAAATTGTGATAATGTTGCCATAGGGGATTTTTTGATAAAATTTTAAAGTTAAAAGAGGGTTTTCTGATATTTAACTTTTTTAGTAGTTAAAGAGGGTACATTTCCGAAACCCTCTGAAATTTCAGTTGTTTTCAACAAAAAAACCCCTAAACTTTATAAATTAGATGTAAACCCCTGAGCTATTAAGAACAGTCATTAATGGCGTTATAATGTGGTAAAATTGTCCAAAGCAAGTCACATGTGAAGCACATGACAAGTTAACTAATTGTCATAGTCATGGTGATTTACTGAAACAGATTTGGAGGAAATTTCTCTAATTTATAGAAGTTAGATAATTTTGGGAAAAACAACCAAAAGTTTAAGGAGTTTTGTGAAATTAACCCATTAAAAGAAGTTATCATATGGGGGGAGGAAGTAAGTTCTACCGCCAGTGACGAAGCAAGAGTCCCGTCTTCTGGTCGCTCGTCATGATCAATCTCAAGAAGTGAAGGCCCGATAAGCCCAAATTGCCGTCTACTAGAAGGAAAATATGTGTACCTAAGAAAGTTTATTTGATCTTGTCAGTTTAGAAGAACAAAAGTCACTGACAGAAGACAGGAAATCCTCCTACTATTACTAACACTATATGTAGGTTACATAAACAACATTTTCTGCATTTCAATAAATTTCATATCAAGTTTTTATGTCTTCGAAGACTATATCGCAAGTTTCAGTTCATCTATTTTCATTAGTAAATATCTGTTCACTGTTGCAGTTACCTTTCCACGACAATCAAATTGTGCTTGTTATGTGGCCACACCCTCAAAGAATCATCGATGATTAGCACAGCTGATTCCATACCCAATACTCCATCAAGATCCTTGCTTTTAGGTACCCTATCATCACCATCAAAAGGATCACCATCATCTCCCCTCGAAAGAACTCTCCCTGCAAATAAATTCCCTTTCGGATCAAGAAGCTTTGCCATCTCAGTTGCATACAATTTGTTCCCCATTGTGTATACATGAAGTTCATAGAGCTGGCTTGCCTGAATCAACAATGATGTATTTTTTCAGAATGCAACACATATTTGATCATTAAAAATTGTTGAATTGATTTTTGTTTACCTTCTCTAGAAATGTCCAGATTCCCGGTCTCAACTTGGTCCACATCCCCATATGTTGAAGTCGGAAAAGGTGTCTCTCTTGCGTTTGTCTATCTTGTTCTTCTTTCTTCCTCAGAATCTCTTCATGAATTGGATCAATTTCTACAAACTTAAGCAGGGAATAATTTGTCACAACTAATCCACTTCAAAAATGCAAGGAAGAAAATTTGAATTCTGTGAAAAATCAAGTAATACCTTGGCAGAATTGAGAAGTGTGTGATCCAAATCAAGAACAAGACAGAGTTTACGAGCAGCAAACATTTTATTCTGCTCTTCTATCCTTCTTGCCCTTTCTTTTTGGATAGCAGCTTTCTGCTTGTCATCATAACCATCTAATAAATGATCCACATCACCCCATGGATTTGCTGCTGGCTTAGTATCGGTTTGGCTACACAATTCAGGTACATTCTTCGGTTTAGTTAGATCATCACTTGTTTTACTCTGCGACTTGGACACCATATCAGCAAGATTCTGGAGGTTCTTGGTGAACTGCTGCGAGATATCAGTTAGTGAAGCAGATTGCAAAGGTACAGCAAGTTTCTGTGCTTGGTCCCCTTGCTTTCGATGTAATAACTGATCCTTGATGCTATGCACATTTGATGTAGCAGATCCCGAGTTCTCAGTTCTCTGAGCCATATTACTATGAAGTACACGCCTAGGGTCACGAGGTTTCATGCGAATTTTTGCCATATTGTTGTTCTGAGCATTTTATTAGAATAAATCTGATTAGTAAGCAATTATGAGAATGGTATGTTAGATGTTTAACATATGAATGACTTATACAACATGACTAAGCAACATGCTAACAGGGGCTGTACATATGAATATTTTATCAGATTACAGATTTTTTAACATAAGGCACAAACGAAAACTCCTAAGCAACGAAACAACATCAAAATCTTTTATAAATGGAACAAAAATACAAGATAAAGAATAAAACATCGATTTGATAATCAACTGATCTACATTACTGAGAGGCTCACCGTGGATTTGGTTTGGGGAGGCATCTGGGATTTTACTGATGGATTCTGCCCAATTCCTGATGATGAAGATGTGGCACTGGATAATCCATTGACAGCTTGACCATCAGGTTTCTCCTGAGCTTGTCCTGCTGCTATCTTTTGTTGCTCCATTCTCAGCAGTTGCACAAGCATTTGAGGGTTTGCTGCAATACCCTTCAACAGAGAAGGTAATGAAACAATAGGTCCTGTGGTACTAATTGATGTACTGGGAACGGAACTAACAGTCAATTTATTATTGTCAGCATCCAATCCCATTTCATAACCAACTTCTGTACCTACCAGATTTCTATCTTTTGTTGCTCCACTTTGAGATCCTGTTACCTTTACATCTCTAGAACTCATAGAGTCCTTTCGTTGCCTTTTCAAGCTATGCTCATCAAGTACTAGCTCATCATCAGACTTGTGTTTTAAAGAATTGACTGGTCCTGCAGCAAATCCATTTTTAGGAACAACACTTGTTTCTGATTTCATGAACCTAAGCCTTGGATCTCTACTCTTTGCAGAAGCCTTCACAGCGGGATTTGCCTCTGAACCAACCTGACCAATTGTCCTGACTTGAGCCATTTGTGGACCAGCTGAACTATAAACAGGTTGCATTTGAAAACCATCTGAACTATTAACAGGAGCCATTCCATTGGCAGCAGTGCTAGGCAAAACTGTTCTAGCATTATGAGAACCTGAAGAACTGGATACTTCACCATTTATATCATCGTTGCCACCATTCCCATCCTCAGAAGGAGTCGGGCTGGGAAGCCGCGTACTCTCAAGAATCGAATTCTTTCCATATTTCTCCTGGTACGATGATACAGCCTTAAGTGCATCGGTTACATAAGGATGCAATGTAGCATTCTCAGTTTGCACATTCCTTGGGGCCACTAAATGAGAATTGAAAGCTGTTCCACTTCCAAATCCAATTGGCTTTAAAACAGGCAATGGTGGTGCATTGTCACGGGTTGGTGAAGGGAGGCTGTCCTCATCATAATCTCCATGGAGGTTTAACAATGGACTAAAATCAACTCTACTTCTTGAGGCATTAGGTTGTTCTAAATTGGCCGAGCTGGCCTTATCAATTCCTCTCTGATCCGCTTTCCGTTTCTCTGCTAAAATTTCAGGCCTTTCACCTACATTGGCTGAACCATTCGGAAAACTAGTTGTTTTCCCAGTACTGAGTACAGCTTCAGAAGCCAACGTATGTACTCTCACATCTATCTGTTACACAAAAAGACTCAACTCTTTAAGTTTCTTCTTTAAAAAAATCACCAAGGTACCCTTAACATCAGCAATCAAAAACAGAGCCAGACCTCTTTCACTTGCTCAGGAGTAAGAAAAACAGAATACTGGTTCTTAATGTGAATCAGCAACCTGTAACAGAATTCAGCATTGCAGATTTTACTCAAATTATTTCTAGACAATTTTAATTAACATAACTAGTTCATTAACCTTAGCAATAACTCCTTGTTCTGATCGAGTTTCTTCAAATGCCCAGAATTGAAGGCCTGCAACATCAAACTCAAAATTTTAAGCCATTAAAGCAAAAAAAAAAAAAAAACCGATATCTAAATCACAGAGATTAAAGTTTTCAATTTAATCTTACAGAGTAAATAGTTTGAATCCCCACGAACGCCTGCTGCACAATAACATCAAGAACCGGTCCATGCCCTTGTAAAAACATCTGCTTCAAGCTGGCAAAAGACTTTTGCAATCGAGAACAGACTTCCTGAAATGATCTGCATAACATAACAAAACCAACATCGGTTCCTTTCACCCAGAAATAAAACAAAATAATGTCTTTAAAATATAAAATCCCTCCAAGTTTTGATTTTTAGTTTAAAATCTAGCTAAACTAGTGTTTTTCTTAATATTCCCCCCCCATCGGCCAACTTACGATTCTGCTTCCTCGACTGTAATAGTCTCTAGTTCCTCCAAAATCATCCCAAATTGATTATCAAATTCATCAATCTCTTCCACTTCATCATCTTTCTCATTCTTCTCCCCGTTCGATTCAACATTCGTCGAATCCTCCACATTCACGACTTCGGATCCAAACTCAATCTCCCCTTCCTCCAACTCACCCTCCTCTTTCTCAACCTCACCCTCATTTTCATTATTTTCGTCATCATCATGATCAACCTCATTCTTCACATCAAGCCCTAGCGGCTTGTTCTGCACCGCCTGAGCCCAAGCGAACGAGTACAGATCCTGGTTATAGTTCCGATGAACCGGAAACCCCATCAGATCGCTCGCCCAAACCCTAGATCTAGACGAAGGAGCCCTAGCATCCTTCTTCTTCAGATCGTCGGCGGTGATCTCCTTCACCGATCCCGACGAGTCATCGGAGTTCGAACCCTCCTCGTTCCGATGCTTCGCCATTAGGGTTAGGGTTAGGGTTTCGGCTTTGTTCGTCGTTAGGTGGTGATATTAGAGCCGTTTTTTAATGGAATCGAGATCGAATCGGAGAGCTGCGGGAGACGAATCGATCAATTAGAGTTTCAAGTTGCGATCTTTGGCGAGGGTACGAAGAAATCGCCGAGGGATCCAGCCAGCGGAGGAGAAGATTTTGGGAGGGGGGCAAGGGAACGACGAAGTCGAGC